AAATTCTTCTTGAGAGAGAAGAACAAACAAAAAGAAAACAAGCTATGCTTGCTGCTGCTGCTGCTGCTGCTGCTGCAGCAGCAACTACTAATGCTGCTGCTACCGCTACAGCTGCTGCAGCAGAACAACAGCAGCAAGCCCTCCTGCAGCAGCAGCAGCAGCAGCAGCAGCAGCAGCAGCAGCAGCAGGAGAGTGATAAGTGGTATGCACCAGGCACAGGGGGGGTTTCACCGAGGGGGGCCCCCGGGGGGGGCCCCCCAGGGGGCCCCCAGGGGCCCCCTGGGGGCCCCCGTCAGCAGAGGTAATGATGCTGCTTTCTGCTGCTGATGAAAAAAGGAGACAGATAGAAAGGAGACAGATAGAAAGGAGACAGAAAGAAAGAGAGAGAGAGAGAAAGGAGACAGAGAGAAAGAAAGAGACAGATAGAGGGGGGATACAAGAAAAGAGACAGAGAGACAGAGAGACAGAGAGAGAGAGAAAAATAAATAAAAAAAGGAGACAGAGAAAAAAAAAAAAAAGAAAAAGAGAGAGATAGAGAGAGAGAAAGGAGACAGAAAGAAAGAGAAAGAGAGAAAAAAGGAGACAGATAGATAGAGGGGGGAGAGAAGAAAAGGAGACAGAAAAAAAGGAGACAGTAAAAAGAAAATAAAAAAGAGACAAAATAAAGAGACAGATAAAATAAAGATATAAAATAAATAAAAAAAGGAGACAGAAAAAAATAAAAAAAAAAAACAAAAGGAGACAAAAGGAGACAGATAAAGAGAGAGAGAAAAGGAGACAGAGAATGCAGCAGCTGTCTCCTTTCTTTCTGTCGCTTGCTGCTGCAACTTAAATAATAAATTAATAAATAAAATAAATAAATAAATAAATAAAATAAAATAAAATAAAATAAATAAAATAAATAATACACATATATATGATACAAACAGAATAAGAGAGAATATATAAATAAAAAAAAAAACAAAAAAAACAGAAAACGAAAGTATTTTGGTTTATGCTGCTTTATAAACAGTTTCGGGGGTTTAGGGTTTAGGGTTTAGGGTTTAGGGTTTAGGGTTTAGGGTTTTGGTTAGCAGCAGCAGGGGGAGTCTAGATGAGCTGCTGCAGCTATCTGCAGCAGCAACAGCAGCTAGCTGCAGCAGCAGTAGATAGCTGCAGCAGCAACAGCAGCTAGCTGCAGCAGCAACAGCAGCTAGCTGCAGCAGCAACAGCAGCTAGCTGCAGCAGCAGTAGTAACTAGCAGCAGAAGCAGCAGCAGTATCTAGCAGCATCAGAAGGGGTAACTAGCAGCAGCAGCAGCAGCAGCAGCAGCAGCAGCAGCAGCAGCAGCTAGGTGCAGCAGCAGCAGTATATAGCTGCAGCAACGATACAGTTAGGCGTAGCAGCAACAGCAGCTTGCTGCAGCAGCAACAGCAGCTAGCTGCAGCAGCAACAGCCGCTAGCAGTCGCATAGCTAAGCAGCAGCAGCAGCGAAGCAGCAGCTGCTACTGCTGCAGCAGGCTAGGGCGACAGGCAGCAGCAGCACAGCAGCAGGAGCAGCAGCAGCAGCAGCAGCAGCGATGCAGCAGCAGCTACTGCTGCAGCAGGCTAGGGAGACAGGCGACAGCTGCGTCGTAGTGTACAGACAGCTGGCACTGCTGCTCCCCTCGATTAGGGTTTAGGGTTTAGGGTTTAGGGTTTAGGGTTTGTATAGAAGATAAGAGCGTACAGACAGCAGCTGCGCTGCTGTAAGCAA